GCAGTTTTAAGCAGAAAATACTCAGCAATGCTGTCGACTTATGAACTTACACACGGTTAGTCTATTAAAATGATCATATTAAAAACACCACATAGACATAAACAACATTAAAACACTTTTTTACCACAGGGGGACTTTAATTAACAATCATGTTGTCAATGAATTGAGAGCAAATACTGTTGAAACACAAACAATTGGTGTGTAATATGTTTATTGTTGGTTGAATAGAAAACAAAAAAAATTACAGGAGCAAAAAATATTTTTCACATGAACACAAAATTACATTTCTAGCAGCTCAGCTTCAATAATCCTTTAAAATCCCTATTTTTCATGATGATGAGGATGATTGAGGTTCAGAAAACAAGTGCTGCAGTTGTGTAACGTGAGAACAGTTGATTGAGAAAGAGAAAAACAATGCGAGGCATTTTACACTGCACTTTACTGACCTGTTATGGTAGTTTATAATGAGACATGGCTGTTACTTGAAGCCCTACATCGCCTGTATCAGGCTTTATAGCACGTGTCGCTATAGGACACGTAAGCACCGGCTGGGACAGACACTCTCAGACACAAACTATACAAGAGGTCACAGTGTTCGACCTCTCCCAGACCCCTAGAGGTCAACTCTTGGTTTATACAGTGCTTAGCATAAGTGAACACACCCATGCTAAAGCTGAATAAAAAAAATCTTTTGGAAATTGATCTTAATGCCTTAATTAAAAAAATGAGAACCTTTAAGGACACCAATTTTCTTTGTGAATGAATAATGTATCGTAAATAAATAAATGTTCTTCCTTAAAATACAGGGTGCATAAGTCAGGACATGTTAAATTCCCATAGAGGGGCAGATTTTTATTTTTAAAGGCCAGTTATTTCATGGATTCGGGATATTATGCATCCTGATAAAGTTCCCTTGGCCTTTGGGATTAAAATATCCCCACATCACACACACCCTTCACCACACCTAGAGATCGGCATGGCTTTATTTCAGTTAAAATGCATTGGTTTGATTTGCATTGAGAGATGATCTTATGGAAAGTATCCCATGCCGATTAGCATGCGTGTGTTCCCTTATGCTAAGCACTGTATGTGTGCATATATGAGAAATGTACTTAGATGTAAGTACAGTTTTTGTTGTGTTGACAACTGTAAACGATATAATTGAGAAGCCTGGTGGAAATGCAGTTTCGAGTATATTGTGTGCAGACACATCAGAAAGTGCAGAAAGCAGTCAAAAGTATTGATCCCAAAGCTAAAGAGACCTTTACTATTTGCGCATCAGTTCAACATTTACAGAAAAATAAAGATTATTGCGTCCTCTGGATTAGATTCCTTTTGCAATATGCAGGAAAACAAACAGAAAAGTAGGATATAATCTGGCCTTGAAAAAAACAGCATCGAAATGCATCAAGTGGACGGGACAAAAAGGCAGTTTTGTGAGGTAAGAAAAAAATGAAGTTGTTGTTTTTATTAGTCGTCATGTAAAAGCATTCGCAATCTTTTTTACTCAAGTGAGATCAGGGACTGAAACGGAAAAAATATATATATAATTTGATGATGCAACAAAAAAACAAACGTTGCACAGTAATTTACTGGATCATATAAAGTGAACATTACCAGAGAGAAGTTGGGTGGTTGGAGGTTAAAAAATAAAAGATTTCTCACAAAAGGCCTTAATCTTTAAATGTCTGGAAGGTTAAAATGAACTAAAGCAAAACCAGAATAAAAGACAAGAGAGAGACAGACAAACAAACCACATTCCCTACATACAAGTTTGGCTGAAACCGGACAAAAGCATTAATGGAAGACATAAGCGGCGTGAAGACGAGAGCATCTGAAATTAATGTGAGTGTGAATGTCACTCAATTATCAACACTTAATTTAGGACCATCAATATTTGACATTATTTTCATAAATGAAGCATTTTCCTGCTCTATTATTATTATTACTGTAATGCAAAAAACATCTCAGTCTCGTTAATGTAATGTGAAAATGATTGTCAGATTAGTTGTATTGCCAATTATATATATATTTATTGGATTTTAAATATGAACTAGATGTGTTTTTTCTTGAGGTTCACCCAAATATTCAGGCTCTAAATTCCATTATTGATAACATGTGTTTCATAACAGAGATTTATGAATCCAGCGTGCAATAATACACGGGTGGGTGATGAAAAATGAAAAACATCTGCACTCCCTGAGTTTCTGAATGTGTCTGTCTGTCTCTCTCGTTCTTTGTCTCCGTCTCTCACGCGTATAAAAACACACCCATCAGTAAAAAATGGCACGACGGAAACTCTAAGGAGAGATTAGCGTTTGGATGAGGACTCGTTTCCAGCGCCTGCTATCATGAGCACCGTTAATCACATGCTGATCAGGGAGAGACACAGGAATCATGGCTTTCAGATCCATGAATCTGCACAAACAAACCCACCGCAGGAGACTAATCAACCAACGAAACGCAAGACATGTATCCTTATGTAACCATAAAACAGACTTCTGAGGTATGCACGATTACTTCAGTTTCCACTAAAGACATCAATCAATCAGTTTAGCTAAACAAGCATCTTAAGTCACCAGAAAACATGATCACAGTACTAAAATCTGAAGAGGTGTCTTGTGTTCTGGTTAAACCTGCAGGGTTGAGGCAGTTTGGTTAAGATCGTGACCATATCGTTTGCTTTTTAAACAGGCAATCTAATGAGTTCTGAGATAAATGCACCCGAAACGAGGTTAATTAGCTCAGAAACCGCTGCTTAAAGGGCTTCTGGGAAATAGTTGACAAATAGACGGATGAAAGGACAGCATACGTGCAAAAAGAGAGAAACTACAGCTCTGTTCCAAATACTAGTGCAGACCGAGACAAAATCATCAAAACCATCATATAAGTTCACAGAAGATTGATGGTAAATGCTCTAAATAGGCAAATGGCACTCAATCCACAATTGAGTTTGATATCAGCAATGCGCAAGGTGAATGTTGAGACAGAAGAGTCCACTAGGTGGCGATACGCAGTTGCGATGTATTGTGCAATAGTAGAAGAAGAGGTACAAAACAGGACTGGTTATCCATAGATATCCATAATAAAGGCTAGATGTGTTATGGTGGAGTCTCTATCGTCATCACCGGCGGCCATCTTGTCACAGGCAAGCTTTCTGGCGGGCTCTGTGGTGCCTGATGTAAGATGAGTGATCAGCACCAACACAAATACTCTTATCTCGGTGAAATCTTGACGGATTTACAAACGGGTTGGTTTCTTACAAACGTTATTAACGTGGCTATAATTCTGGATGATTATTTATTGATACACTTATTATTCATAAGTATGCAGTGTCATAACTACATCTCTGACGTTTATAACAAACCAAACCGTTTGAAAATCGGTAGAAAATTGAGCAAGTTATGGTTATTTAAAAAGTACATGCGCCATTAAAACACAATGTTACGAGTGAGCGAGCTGCCTGTGGCAAGATGGCCGCCAGTGCGGACGGCGACCTCCATTGGCCAGCAGCGCGGACGAGACATCTAGCCTTTATTATGGATATCTATGTGGGTATCATTCAAAAAATTTCGATACTTTTTTTTATTTTTTATACCAAATCCGTTTTATCAAGATTACATTAAATATTACCCCCCAAAAAAACTTTTTTTTTAGTTTGTTGACTTTTTTTTTTTACAGACTCAAAGACTCATATAGGCCATATATTCATATGCCTCATCTAAAACAATCTATTTCTCTTAGATGAATTGTTATATCTCACTAGTTTTTGGAACAGAGATTGAGAAAAAGCTCATGACTGCTCTCACCAAACACGTCTTAAACATGTTTAAGTTATCGACCAAAACAAAGACACAATAAAAAAAAAAACAGCTTCAAATGTCATGTTCTTCACATAATAATTCACTAATACTCATAAACATGGCCCACTTTTGTATAATACTACTGTGTTGTTTTGCTTAGAGCAATCTGTTCTTTCCATTCTTAAACAGAATCACAGATGTGACAGTTTTACAGTCGTCGTTCGGTCCAGATCACGCTTTGATTGTCTTCATAAGAACCTCAAAGTCCATTCAATTCAAATGCCAGATTTTTTTCCCGCCAATATAACAAACGAGACACAATACATATAACCAAAATATAAATTCTTAAAAAAATACAATAAATGGGAGTCAAATGTGGAACAAAGACACATATTTAGATTTTAAAAACATAGTTATAGCAAATGTAGTGATTCTATCCTTGAGTGGATCTCAAAAAAAAAAAAAAAAAAAAAAGTCGATATATGTCTGGGTCCTATTGTACCCTAAAAATAAGAAATTATATTTTGCATAAACGGTGCACTGAAAATTGGGATTTACAGCAAAACAATTTTCACTCAGAAATTACAAAGAAACGACAAGAAACACATTGGATTAAACATGACATTTTTAAGTAGAAAAAATTAAAAAAGTATTTTCTCCTATAATCGGTTTAATTTACAACTTTTTAAAATCTGGTATTTGTTGTACTGATTTAATTTATTCATCCGGATTTGATGACTTTGTTTGCTGCTGTATTGTGATTATGAAAATAAGATTGTTTTCGCATTATATAAATTTGATGTAAAATGTGCTTAATTGTCACAAAGCAAAACAAAAATTATGCAAAATATAATTTCGAATTATTTTCTTTATTGATTCCTAGCTCTACGGATCCTTTAGTTTTCGTCTGGCTCAAGGCTCATGGCACAGTTTGTGAACTCTTAGTGCATAGCTGAACTAAATTTAGCAGATATCACTAAGGATTATTTAAAAAAAATCCATAAAAATGATTCCTCGTTTTGTGTGCATTTCTACATAATTCATAAGCGATACACTAACAGCTTCGGTACGTTATGCTAAAATGAATCACGGCTGAGGTTATCAATGTCGATAGCAGAAAGTGCACGAAGAAGAAAGACGGATTTTTCTCATAAAAGTTTCGGAAATCTAACGCTATGGAGGATTTAAAAAAAATCTAAAGCATACAAATCTGATTTGCATAATCTAATAAAAAAAATGGAAATTGAGATCTACAGTATCAAGCTCTTTTTCTCTGTAAAACATCAAATCGATGAAGGTTTTGCTTCCTTTTTAAAGGTCCTAATTGAAGCGATGGCTCCCGCGCTACCTGAGCTCTCCGTTCAGTTTCTGCTCAAACACGAGCAGGGGATTTCGGCACGAATCCGCATCCGGAAGTCGCTTGTGGAAACGGCAGCGCGGGATTGGACGATCACATCTCCTCTCCAGCACAGAAGAAGAGCAAGGGGGAAAGCCTTGAGACCTCGAGTTTGATTAGAGACAAGCAAAGAGGAAATACACCATCTCTGACACACACTGATGAATCCCTGCGGAGAGAGAGGAACAACAGACGTCACACACACAGTTGGGGTGCCAGTTTTTCATGTCACACATCAAATATTAAGCTTGATCTATCTTAGATGCAAAGTTTTGCAAAAAAATTACTTTTTTGGCAAGAGAAAAGAGAAAATCGCAAGCCATAAACATTTCTAAGCATGCATGAAAAGTGTATTTCGCAATTTATTTATTTTTGTATATAGTGGGCCGCATTGAAAACCAGCTTTTAAAAAAAAAACTGGAATACAGTTTAAAAGGAAGAAATGCAAAATTAGTTATTTTTTATACTGTAAAACAAATCTGAAATGTATGGTAAAAACAACAACAGCTGACTGATTTAATTTAAATTGACATATCAAGTGGTATGATGTTAAAATACCAACCTTCTGAAATACTAAAAAAAAAATTACCTTTACACGACAACCACCAAAAATACACATGTGGTAAAGAGAAAGTCACATGATAAATCGAAGGCCACATACACATACAGTTAAATCTGGGAAGTTTTCAACTTTTAGTGTTTAATCCTGTTCTGTACACACATAGATAAATATATATATAAAACTAATAATATGACAAAACCACATAACAAAATGACAAAAAATTAAACTACAGAAAACTATAAAAGCCCAATAAAAAAACCTTATTAAAACTGCTGGCAATTCATTTTGTTTTCCGCTGTATATATCAGTCCGTCCAGGAAAACGCAGAGTTTTTTTGTGATTGTTGCAGGCAAAAATCCTTGATTATGCGTCCCGTTTTCTTAAAAAATGCGATGGAATATGCGGGATATTTATGCAATTTTATGCGATGAAATTGCGGGAACTTGCAAAAAACTGCGGTTTGATGAAAAAGAGAAAAAAAAGTGATTCCCCAACACCCTGTTCTCACTAGGCTACTACCTTAATGTAAAGAGTCATTTCTTATTACTTCCTATGATAAGCAAGCATATACACCACAGAAAGTGTTTATTAGACCTTAATAAACACATCAAACTTACAAATCATTGACGAGTCAAACAAGTTCTGTAGCTTTACAAAAGGAATCTGCTACAACTTCAGTAAAAATTAATTTAAAAAATATAAAAAAATAAAGTGTGCTCCTGTTTTACAGCTTTTCGATGATGTTCACGTCGCGTAATTACGTCACTTCATAACGTTCCCATGGCAACAGGGGGAAACGGCTGCTCTCGTGTGAAGCAAACGCAACATTTTTCAACTTTCTGCTAAGATATATGTGACTTTTTTGCAACGAAAATGCGAGGATTATGAAATCATGCAAGCCCCGCATATTTAGCACCGGAAATCGGCAATTTATGCGGCGAAAGTGCGGCGTATTTGAAAAAATGCCCTCGCATAAATATGCGGACTTTGGCTGATTATGCACTGAATCATGGGATCGCATAATCACGCTTTTCTGGAGGGACTGAAATATATATATATATATATATACATTGTAATGTATGTCCCCTTTACAGTTTGTAAGCGTATGGAATATAAGGAAGCTTATCCGTAGCCAATTAACATCTTTTTAACGCAGCATTTTTCCAGTCTTTTACTGTTGAACTTGGGATGATTTTTGACGTTAGCTTCTACCTTCGTGTGTCTGTGGGCTTCATATGTGCGTCTCCATGTCGGTGTACCCTGGCAGCATGTCCCCGTTGGAGCAGTTCTTCAACATCTTGTCCATGCTGGGGTCGTGGAGCTCCTTCTGCCGTCTCTGCGCGCGCCGGTGCGCCAGAGGCACGAAAAACATCACGATCCCCCCCACTATTGGAGGAATCCCAGCTAGATAAAACGCCACGTAGTAGTTCCCAAAATGGTCTCGAAGAAGGCCTGAGAAATGGACATATGAAAGATGAAACGACATTATCACAACATGTTCAATGAGGAAGGTCTAGTTCAGGCTGAAGAGCATCTCATATGACCGATGAGAATATATTTGAAAAGGAAATGTTGTTACTATTATTGTTGCAAGCTTTAAATAACTGTTTATTAAGTCATTCCAGAGGTCGAACAAATATATATATCTATTTGCTTCACCTCTGGAACAGGATGAATGTGTAATATTTATTTATTTCAATATATATATATATATATATATATTAACATATACTATCCAGAGGTGCAGAATATATTTCTATTTTTTTGAAAATGTTTAATATTTTCATCATATATTTATATTATTTATATGAGGAAAATATTTAAAAAACAGCAAAGAAATTAAATATACATTGTCCATTGTCTATGTGTAAATATATATATATATATATATATATATACACAATTCAAATTATATTTTACTAAAATTTTAAAAACAACATTTAAATATATATTACAATATATAAATACAAAAGATTATGAAGATGTGTTTGTGACATTTGTGCACTGTTTAAAGTGCAAAATTGGGTGTTTGTTTGTGTGTGTGTGTGTGTGTGTGTGTGTGTGAAGTCAAGTCAAGTCAAGTCATCCCCATTTATAAAGCGCTTTTAACAATGTAGATTGCTCCAAAGCAGCTTTACAGAGATAAACATATAATTTAAGGGAACAGAGATTTGTTTGGTTTTATAGCGGTTCTTGAATAATGTTATTATTCACAATTGTGTGTGTGTGTGTGCGTGTGTGCGTGCGTGTGTGTGTGTGTGTGTGTGTGTGTGAAAATGAAAAATCAAAAGAAAAGTTACAAGAAAATAAAGATTTCCTTTAGAATAACACAAGACATGGATGAAAGTAAATGGGGTCAATTTTGATTTCATGTTGACTTTAAATAAAAAGACTACTAAAGAATGAAACTAATGCGATTAAATTCAGCTGAGACTCCCCACTATGACCGCCACATTCAAACGCTCTTGATTTCAATATCCTTCTCCAGGAATTTCAATGAGGCTTGAGGCCTGGAACGAATCTCAAGCAAAACAACCACACAATCGCTTTAGACTTTGGTAAGATCCCCCCCAGTCTCTGATACAAAAGATATAAGATCACTTGAAACTTAAATAAATAAACATTTAGAAGACCGATCACGGTTCCAAGTAAAATAACAGCATGTGACGGCCAATCCAAACCTAGTTGTAATGCTCCTGCCGTGAAGGCCAACACTTCTAAACCAGATCCTATAAATGATGCTTCAAGTTCTCAGCGTCCCTGAAACCGACCCGCACTTCTAACAGGGAACGTCAGTCTTTAACAAATCAACCTTGAGACCTGCAAATATAAGGTCCATTTACTGGAGTACAAGTAGATGTTATTATGTCTAATCCTTCAAAATGAAAGATTGGATTCGGAACTGAAAACATATGGAGAGCGTCGCTGAACAAGAGCATTTATGTCAACAGTCCAAACTAAATGTGCTCGCAGGGAGACCTTGGAATTTACCCTCCGAAATAAATCTCATTCCTGTCCACCGGACCCATAAACCGGGAAAACACTTAGCCTGTGTGTGTGTGTGTGTCTTATCTGGGAAACGCAGCCAAGATCAGCATGCTGGCTGATTAAATCACATTTTCATTATTTATCTACATGCTTTATATAAAGATTTTATTGTGTCTTTAGATGGAAATTAGTTACGCTGCATGGAAGAGAGGAATTCACTCGCAACACAAAGACCATTGAGCAAAAAATAAATAAATTATATATATGTATATACACTACCATTCAAAAGTTTGGGGTCAGTAAGACTTTTTAATGTTTTTGATACTAGTCTATGGAAGCTTGTTTCCACCACAGAATAAAAAATAAAAAAGGTAAAGGTAAAGGTAACTTTTTATCTCACAATTCTGACTTTTTATCTCAGAGTTGCATGTTTATATCTCGCAATTCTGAGAAAGTCAGAATTGCGTGATATAAAGTCGCATTTGCGTGTTATAAAGTCAGAAAGTGAGATGTAAACTCGCAATTGTGAGATAGAAAGTCTCAATTATCTTTTAAAATGTTTAATTCTGTGTCTGCACGTTGGCACTTGTTTATTGCCAAAAGTTCACCCAAAAATAAAAATTCATCATTATTTGCTCACCCTCATATTATATCACATTTTACTGCAACGTATTCACAGGACTTCTAAATAATCAAGTCATTTGGTTATGAAATATGGCCCCTCACCTGCGATTGGTGGTCCCGCTGTCATCGGGATGGCCATGAGGCCGAGGAGGTATCCGATGGCTTGGGACGCCTGCATCGGCCCCACCAGCTCGAAGGCGATGGGGGCCATGATCGTGATGAAACAGCCGTCACAAAAACCCATCAGTACGAAAACCACCACCAGGCCTTCGAACGTGGCGCACTGAGGTATCATCATCGACATCAGACCCAGCAGGATGAACGAAGCCACCTACACACACATAAACACACAATCATCTAAGAACGTGGACAGTTTGATCCATCAACCTTAATTTAATCTAGTGGAAAAATACCATAGAAAAGGGCTTTTATGTACACTCACCTAAAGGATTATTAGGAACACCATACTAATACTGTGTTTGACCCCCTTTCGCCTTCAGAACTGCCTTAATTCTACGTGGCATTGATTCAACAAGGTGCTTAAAGCATTCTTTAGAAATGTTGGCCCATATTGATAGGATAGCATCTTGCAGTTGATGGAGATTTGTGGGATGCACATCCAGGGCACGAAGCTCCCGTTCCACCACATCCCAAAGATGCTCTATTGGGTTGAGATCTGGTGACTGTGGGGGCCATTTTAGTACAGTGAACTCATTGTCATGTTCAAGAAACCAATTTGAAATGATTCGAGCTTTGTGACATGGTGCATTATCCTGCTGGAAGTAGCCATCAGAGGATGGGTACATGGTGGCCATAAAGGGATGGACATGGTCAGAAACAATGCTCAGGTAGGCCGTGGCATTTAAACGATGCCCATTTGGCACTAAGGGGCCTAAAGTGTGCCAAGAAACCATCCCCCACACCATTACACCACCACCACCAGCCTGCACAGTGGTAACAAGGCATGATGGATCCATGTTCTCATTCTGTTTACGCCAAATTCTGACTCTACCATCTGAATGTCTCAACAGAAATCGAGACTCATCAGACCAGGCAACATTTTTCCAGTCTTCAACTGTCCAATTTTGGTGAGCTCTTGCAAATTGTAGCCTCTTTTTCCTATTTGTAGTGGAGATGAGTGGTACCCGGTGGAGTCTTCTGCTGTTGTAGCCCATCCGCCTCAAGGTTGTGCGTGTTGTGGCTTCACAAATGCTTTGCTGCATACCTCGGTTGCAGGGGCGGAGTGGCAATCGGGAGAGTCGGGAGTTTCCCCGGTGGGCCGGTAGTGTTTCGAGGCCCGCGAGGGCCGGTCTGATAATAGTTATACCATGTTAAGTGTTATAGCCATGCGCACTTGAGGCCCAAGCAAGGGAAAAAAAACCCCTGTTTTTTTACATTTTCGATAACGGAGCGTATTTGCACTAAGTGCCTGTCTTTGTAGCAAAAAGACGCCAGTTGTGGAATAGCTACAGTGGCGTAGGTCGTAGGGTGTGTAGTGTTTGAAAGCAGCTTTTGACGCGTTCGACCCGAGTTCGAATCCGCCTTTTGCCGAACTCTCTCTTCCCCCTTTTCCCAACACATATGAGATGTAAACTGTACCGCCTATACCATAAAGGTCTCTAGCGTTATATTTTGACAACGAATTAACATCGAAACCATGATATGGGTTTGTGCCTTTATAAAACAGCACAAGACTTTTAGTATATGGCATCCTGTTTGTGCTGCGTGATTGAAAGAAAAGTGCGCTCTTTGCTCACGCGATCAGCATGGTAATCTGGTGTTTTCTCCTATAAAAGCTCATTTCTTGCCAGTGAAGAAATTAGGACAAAAGTATTTTAATTTTCCTATAGGCTACTATAGTGTAATGTAGGCTAAAATATACTTTGGAAATATTCATTTTCATTTATACAGTACATTTATAGGCTATATGGATTTTACGTCATAGGAATAATTATATAAATCATTATTACAGTATTATAATAATTGTTTGGCATCCTAAAACACCATTGATAATGTAATGTAGACTGAGACTCTCATAACTAAAAAGATGTTTGAGCCCTCTTTAATGTCCAGGTAAAAATCAATGCTTTTTCTTTGTTCAACGAGCAGTTCATGGGTTGAAGCTCTTAATTTTGATCTCTCAAAGAGCACCAGATTGATGCATTTAACCTTAAAATGTACAAAATGTTCTTGCGGGGGAGCATGCCCCCGAACCCCCCTAGAAGCACAGAGGTCCACCCAACATAGTTTTACAAAAGCCTATGTGAAAGAATAACCATTTATGAACTTTAATCCAGCACAGTACAACAAAGTCATTAAAACTGTAAATGCCATATTAAAATGTCCTTGGACAAAATATACATTTGGCCTGCCTAAGAGGGGGCCTACAAGACATTGTGCCCCAGGGGCCTCTGAACTCTTAATCTGGCCCTGCCGGCGACGAGGGCTGGTGGTCTTCAAAAAAACCTTGCATCACAATAAGTGTATTTGGTAACTAAACAGAATTTTATTAAGTTTAGTGACAACATGTTACAATGTTTGAATGGTACAATGGCTGGTAGGCTACTGTTTTTATTATTGCTCGGCACAAATTTCACGATTTCATGATTTGATTCTGATCTTGTTTCAATATCGATTAATTTGGATAAATATTAGGTACAGTAAGATACATGTTAAGAAAAAAACAATCTCACCTAATGCTGTAAACATACAGAGAGCCCTGTCAGCTGCTATTATTATTAAAGGTTAAAAATAACAACTCAGATTAAATATAATGCGGTGTTTATTATAATAACAACGTTATAATATTTTAATGATATAAGTAAAAATATAATAAATATGTACCCTAATATAGTGCACATATTAAGCAAAATACTCCTCTTTTCCAGAATTTTTCAGTCCTGTGTATATTGACATCATATGAAAAAGATTCTGTTCACGTTAGTATATCACTAATGAGAAAAACTGATTCAAAATTTGTTCCACTTGCATAATGCATAATGAACTTCAGAAACACTGAAGGCACTCGATGACCTTATGACCTTGAGTGTCTCTGATTTCATTTCATGCTCTGGCGGCATCGCATTAGAGTTGCTGAATTCTTACGGTTATGGAAATATTCATCACAAACATTCCGTACCTGCAAGTAGATTTTATTCACTCCGGGAATGAGGTCTCCGATCTTCCCGAACATCAGTCGACCGACGCCAGACGACGCTCCGATACACACGAGCAGAAGCCATTCCCTCTGAGTGTCTACAAACCGCTCCTTCACGAAGCTCATCTGTACGGCACAGGAAAACATCAGACGATTAACATTACACATGCAAAATCATCTGTCTGTCTATCTACAGTATCTATAACTATCTATAATGTCTGTCTGTCTGTCTATCTATATATATATCTATAATGTCTGTCTGTCTATCTATATATCTATGTCTGTCTGTCTATATATCTATGTCTGTCTGTCTGTCTATATATATATATATCTATGTCTGTCTGTCTATATATATATATATCTATGTCTGTCTGTCTATCTATTTATCTATCTATGTTTGTCTGTCTGTCTATATATATATATATCTATGTCTGTCTGTCTATATATATATATATCTATGTCTGTCTGTCTATATATATATATATCTATGTCTGTCTGTCTGTCTATATATATATATATCTATGTCTGTCTGTCTATATATATATATATCTATGTCTGTCTGTCTATCTATTTATCTATTTATGTTTGTCTGTCTGTCTATCTGTCTCTATAATGTCTGTCTGTCTGTTTATATCTATCTATGTTTGTCTGTCTGTCTATCTGTCTCTATAATGTGTGTCTGTCTGTCTGTCTATCTATCTGACTATATATCCATCTATCTATCTGTCTGTCTATCTATCTATAATGTCTGTCTTTCTCTATAATGTCTGTCTGTCTGTCTGTCTATCTATCTGACTATATATCCATCTATCTATCTGTCTGTCTATCTATCTATAATGTCTGTCTTTCTCTATAATGTCTGTCTGTCTGTCTGTCTATCTATCTGACTATATATCCATCTATCTGTCTGTCTATCTATCTATAATGTCTATCTGTCTGTCTGTCTGTCTATCTATCTATCTATCTATCTATCTATCTATGTTTGTCTATCTGTCTGTCTGTCTATCTATCTATCTATCTATCTATCTATCTATCTATCTATCTATCTATCTATGTTTGTCTATCTGTCTGTCTGTCTATCTATCTATCTATCTATCTATCTATCTATTTATCTATCTATCTATCTGTCTGTCTATCTATCTATAATGTCTGTCTTTCTCTATAATGTCTGTCTGTCTGTCTGTCTATCTATCTGACTATTTATCCATCTATCTGTCTGTCTATCTATCTATAATGTCTATCTATCTATCTATCTATCTATCTATCTATCTATCTATCTATCTGTCTGTCTGTCTGTCTATCTAACTATCTATCTATAATGTCTGTCTGTCTATCTGTCTATCTATATCTATGTCTGTCTGTCTGTCTATCTAACTATCTATCTATAATGTCTGTCTATCTATCTGACTATATATCTATCTATGTCTGTCTGTCTGTCTGTCTATCTAACTATCTATCTATAATGTCTGTCTATCTATCTATCTATCTGGCTGTCTATCCAATATAAAAAGAAAAATATCAAGCAGCACAGCTGTTTGCAACATTGATAATAATCAGAAATGCTTCTTGAGCAGAAAATCAGCATATTAGAATGATTTCTGAAGGAACAAAATGGTACTGAATCTGAATCTGAAACAGAAAGGACCACAGACAACATGGAACAAATGGAAAAATGTTAAAACTGAAACTCAATAATGTGACACCTGGAGTAATGATGCTGAAAACTAAGCTTCCCATCACAGGAATAAGTTACATTTTAAAACGTACTAAAATAGAAAACAGTTATTTTAAATTGTAATAATATTCCACAAAATTGTTACTTTGTTTTGATCAATAAATGCAGCCTTGTTGAGCAGGGAAATAAAACAAAAGAATCGTACAAACCCCGAACTTTTGACCGATTGTCTGTTTGTCTAACATCAAATGATCTTTTTATAGCTCCACTCAGTAGTATCTTGTCCAAACACATAAACATGAATCTCTTGTTGACATAGAAGTGCTAGTTAAGTGTGATTCCCGTGACTTAATAACCATCGCTGGACTGAACGGTTGTCTTTGTGTGGCCATCGTCTTCATCAAAGCCCCTTTTCTTCAGCCTCATCAACCACGGCATTAATGCGGCTCTGTGGTGGGAACACAGGAAAGCCCGCTATAAGTTGAATATTTCCGCTCATAGACGCCCTTGTTTCTAAGAAGGGAAGGCGGAGGTCATGGGGTTAAAAATAAAAAAATCCTTTAGAAGCATTTCCTGACCCTAGAGATCCCAGTCTTTTGAAAACGGCTTGAATGAGAAAACCTTAGGGGCACATCAAAAGCCATGAGATTTCACATTTAGGTTTAATGCGAAGGAAGGGCTTTCTTATTTCACCACAGAGCGGCGAGAGTCACACACACACACACACACACAACAAAAGCCGGGACAAAGTGTTTACTTCTGGTCCGATGCCTGTAAAAACACGACTGAAGGTGGAAGAGTGAGACTGAGGCGAGGGGGGAAAGGTCTCTCTCATTAACTTTATACACACACACACACACACACACACACACACACACACACACACACACACACACACACACACATGTTGGCAAACTCGCACCTAACCAAATAAACACTTGCTTCAAACACATACCGACGTTTTGACATATATCAACACAACACAATTGCTCACATAAACACACACACACACTTCCAGTTTCCTTACATCTATCTAAAGCCTGCATTACATTTCACTAACGCTCAAAAGTCTGGGGTTGGTCAGCTTTTTAATGCTTTTGAAAGAAGTCTCTTCTGCTTACCAAGGCTGCATTTAATTGATCAAAAATACAGTAAAAACAGTAAAAATGGTAAATATTATTACCATTCAAAATACCTGTTTTCTATGTGAATATATAATAAAGTGTAATTTATTCCTGTGATCAAAGCTGCATTTTCAGCATCATTACTCCAGTCTTCAGTGTCACATGATCCTTCAGAAATCACTCTAATATGAGGATTTGATGCTCCAGAAACATTTCTGATTATTAATACATATTTTTCAGGATTCTTTGATGAATAGAAAGTTCAAACGAACAGCAAGTAAGAATATTTTGTAAGAATATAAATGTCTCCTGACATTTTTTTCAGTAAAAAACAACAACCTGTAAACATTTAGAAAAATATTTCGGAAAGCACATTTCCATTAAGCACACTATTAAAGGTCTTGAATTACTGTGTTTTACAGTGAAAGAGAAGCACGCATGATGGATCCATTTGCGTCACGCTTTTCTTTCAGCAAACAGCGAAACATCCTCTTTTATCATCACATTTATTTTATGGCCTGTTTACCCTTAACTGTGACCCAAAGCCCTATTTATGCACTCAGCCCAGCAGCTTGAAACTATTACAAGCTTCATTTTGCTTTGAAAACAAGCGAGAGCGAGCAGCATTATGGCCATGTGCGTCGGGTATCCGAGTAAAAGTATGTCCATCACTATGACAACAGAGAATGAGTGAGAAGGAAAGGTGAAACAAGGACAGAAATCCCCAGAGTCTGACCTGAGATGACACACGCCGAGTTAATAATTCATCATCAACATGTGTGGACTCATCACATAGGCTTTCTGTCATGCAGAGTGCATTAAATATTTCAGCTCACAGAACCCTAAAACATTATTTATGCATGGGCCGAGCGCGTCACTCCTATAGCCTCCTCCGTTTTCTAAATGTTAAATGCACACCGGCTCGACTCGCTGTAAATCGGAGGCGTTTTGTGTTTATAAAATGGTCATCAGCTTGTAAACAACAGCCTCTGCAAAACAGCAAATGTCATGTTTAATATTCAGTCCAGAAATTAAAATTGACTTCTTTTTTTTTTTCGTATTAGCATGCCAACAAACAATAACTGCCTAAGAATTTATTTTCTTCAATTTTTAATGATTTATTGACTGAGCAAATAAGGATTTGGCATTGTAAATAAAAAAGTGCAAGTTTCATACATAAATTATGTGCTAAAACTGAAAAGTTAGTTCAATCAAAAACAAAAATGGTCATATTTAGTCATCCTCAAGTCATTTTAAACCATTGTGGCACAAACACAAATTAAGAAGTGATGTTCACACTTTTTTTTTTATGCAACAGTATTATTTTAGTCATATTTATATACTATTATAGTATTTATTCATATTTCACAATTTACATTTTGGTTTATATTTCAGTAATTTTGTTGTAATTTAATTTTGTTTTTTTATATTTCTATTTAGCTTTATTTTTTATTTCAGCTTTAGTTTTAGTAATTTTAGTAAAATTAAAGTTCTTTTATTTTAGTTAGTTGCCAAGGCAACATTTCAAAAAAAATTGTATCTAATATTTATGCTTTATTTTCTTTCAGCTAACAATTTCAATTAATTTCATAGCACAGAAATAACTTCTAGTTTCTGACCAAGGCTGTCTCTCAACACTAATTTTACTTGATCTTAGCGCTGCGTTCGACACTATAGATCATTAAATACTCTTAGATTGACTATAAAATTACACTGGTATTCATGGACAGGCATTAAGGTAGTTTAGATATCAGACCATTACCATTTTGTCTATTTAAATGATGAAAAATCAAAGATAACGTCAGTAAACTATGGAGTGCCTCAAGGGTCTGTGTTAGGCCCTCTGCTATTTTAAATATATATATGCTGCCACTTGGTAATATTATAGGAAAACATGGTATTAGTTTCCACTGTTATGCTGATGATACTGTTATATATATTATCACGTCCAGATAAAATATCTAAACTATCCAAGTCAACAGAGTGTATTAAAGATATACAATATTGGATGACCAGTCAATTTCTTCTATTAAATTCGGACTGAGGCTTTACTTATTGGACCAAAAACCTGCACACAGAATCAAGAAGGATGTAACTTGGTGTAACTTCATCCTCTACAGTTAGTTACTTTTCGGTTACTTTTGATATTAAACATATTAAACAAAGTCTCACCTTTAAAATTTGGTCATTTTTAAAAAATAAATTTAAACAATAAATACCGTTTTGTGGCTCTTAAATGTGTCGTGACAGATCGCTGTAGAGCCTCAGTTAAAGCTGCTCGTGATCCGATCATCTCTTCCTTCTAGTTCATTTAGCATCAAATAAACATGAATGAACATAAGAAGGAATGTTGTTTTAACCGCGGAAAGGCATCAGTACACCGTTTTTCAAGTTCAAATCCTCCCATGTTAATCTACTAACTCTCCTGACTGCTTTGTCGGACAAAATGGCGGATGGCGAAGTATGATTGGTCAGATCACCTGTCAATCAAGCTCCCTGCGAAGATCTGTTTCACAAAACTTATTTTGCTGTTTTTTTCTTTTCTTTCAGCCAATATACCCAATTGTTGAATGTCTTTACTAACATTTCAGGTACCATCCAAATGTAAGGAAATGTTATAATTACTGTAATAAAAACTTAAATAAATTTTTTTTTTTAAAGACAGAAAATCATATTTCATATGTTACAAAAACAGCCTTCTTCCACCTCAGAAACATCGCTAAACTCTGAAACATGCTTTCGGTTTTCTGATGCAGAAAAGTTAGTTCATGCATTCATGACCTCTAGACTAGATTACTGTAATGCATTACTAGCTGAACATTCTCGATAAACAAGATACAATTAGTCAAAAACACATTTGCTAGATTTCTGACCAGGTCAAGAAAATATGATCATATAACACCAATTTGATCATCTCTACACTGGTTACCTATTAAGTTCTGTATCAGTTATATTGCTACTGACTTATAAGGCCTTAAATGGTTCAGCTCCTGTGTACTGTATTTAACTGATCTACAATCCATCACGCTCTTTAAACTCACTTTAATTGTAAGGAAAAGAGCGGCGAGAACATTCTGCATTTAGTGTTCTGCTCACGTCCTGGTATTCGGGTGAAGGAAAGTACAGGAATGCCAAGAGAAATAAATTAAGATGAGTATCCTGAGGTCAGTATGATTTCAAATCCTGACCTTAAATCGAATTAAATGCGATAAAGAAGAATTTGGGTCAGAGTGGGAGTTGTGCAAAAAGACATACTGGCTAGATTTAACAGATAAAGAAAACGTTATAGCATGTATTGGATTGTGGTAATTTAATAAGCATGACATCATCCATCTGTATTATTTTATACTTGTATTTATTGTAAATGTGTACACTCGAAAAAATGCTGGGTTGTTTCAACCCAAATTTGGGTCAAATATGGACAAACCCAAATGTTGGGTTAAAAATGTAATTAAAAAATTTACAGTTGAAAGTGAAAGCTTAAGTTGGGTTAAAAATTTTAACCCAACATTTGGGTTTGTCCATATTTGACCCAAATTTGGGTTAAAACAACCCAGCATAGTTTAGAGTGTATTATATACATGTATTATTCTTAGAAACATTTATATTTGTGGAATATATAGGCCTGGTGTGTATAAGATCCGTCATTATGATTTACTGCTGGGACTCGGCTTAGATCACACCAGTGCTTTGTGCCAAACGTGCGGAAAGTGAGATATGAATTATGCTCAAAAATCGGACACAAAAAAATTCAACCAGCTGGTGAGAGCGAGAACTGCTTTTCCACCACATTTCTGAGACTAAATATTCATATTTTTTGTTACTAAGTCGCTGAAGTCAAGTCACTTGATTTCACTTTACTACACAGTGAATGTTGTATTTGTGAGGGTTATTTATAAATACGTTTAATTGAGTAACATGCAGTTCATTTAACTTAGCATTCTGAAATACATTCTTTAAACATTCTTAAATCAAGAAACATTTACTTGAGAAGCATTACATAAGAGATATAAAGTCTTGTTTTCTGAAAAATGTATCAGCGTCTTTATGTTTAAAACAAGATCAAATATCTGCCAATAGGGTCAGAAAAATAAAACTTGTTTCCCCTTTAAAAAGTTAATTTTTCTGACCCAATGAACTGCCTTAAACGAGTCGTCAGTAATTCCAGTCTCACTTCCTGTTATATACCTACGCAACAATGTAACTAATTTGCATAATGCCAGCCTCTGGTCTTGATTGGCTGACCGCGTCTCTTAGCCCCGCCCTCAAACACTGTAGTGTATCTGAGACTGGAAGAGTTTGGTTCGTGTTGTTCATGTGGAGAAGACGCTGTTTTCTGAAATTGATACGGTAAAACCCACGCCATCGTTACTGTTCGTATCACTGTGATCAAGAGCTGAGATTCAGATATGATAATGAGCGTTTGCTTTCTGACCAATCACAGCAGACTAACATCTGACCAATCAGAGCAGAGCAGCTCTCAGAGAGGCGGGGTTTAGAGACTGAATCTTCGAACGAACCTTTTCAGACTGAGAAATAAGTTAAAGAAATGAGATAAAGAAATGAGGTAATGCGCAATGTTTACATACACGAATATTATTACCGTATGCACCAGAGAAACAAGCACACAGCCATCTTTATAATATTATCTTTGAACTTGTGTTTTTGTGGTCGCTCTATATATTTCTATGGCATTGCTGTCCAAGAGTAATTGGCTGTTGAAGTGGATTTACTTATTGTAGAGTTAATGAAAGTTATCATGAGCATTGTAATGTTTAAAGCGGATGTCATAACAAATGTCAGTTAGAACGAGCAGTTCATTCATAAATACACTTTTAAAAAATCAGTAAAAATAGAGCACAAAGTACTGTATTAATTTAATGTAATTTTCCGTATTTTTTTTTTTTTTTTTTTTTTTTTTTTACAGGTGTTTTACCTGTATTTTGATTTTTTTTTTTTTTTACTTCATTGCGTTGTGTTTTGGGGTCAACGGAAATGTCCGTAAAGTTACTGGATAATATTCGGGTAATAAGCTGCCAGTACTTTTTCTGTTATTTTAAGGATTTATTTTATAGTGCACATAAGATCGCTGTGGAAATACAAACCGGAAGACAAAAGGCAACAAGCGCAGCGCTGAAAGGGGGCGGGGCTACATGAGGTCTAAATTATGAAAAAAATTGTGTTTTTTAGTATAATAGCGGCACTTTAACTAAAACTAAAAATGAAAACGGAAAATAAAAAATTATTAAAAATCTTAATACAAATTTGTGCTGTCACTGGGCAACGATTAATCACGATTAATCGCATCCAAAATAAAAGTTTGTGGTTACATAATATACGTGTGTGTACTGTGTATAATTATCTTGTATACATAAATACACACACATGCATGTATATATTTATGAAATATATATATATACTGCATATATATTTATATTATATTTAAATATAAATATTTTATATATAAATAACAAATATTTCTTAAATATGTACATGCATGTGTATATATATATATATATACAAAATAATATATTACACACACATATATTATGTAAACACAAACTTTTATTTTGGATGCGATTAATCGTTTCCCAGCACTATAAAACATATAACAATGATTATGCTTTCTGTTCATTGGATGAAGTGATTAAATAATTGTACTATTAATTCTGCTACAGTCAATTATAAAATAATTCAAACATTTATAATTAATTCTATATATCTTTTGAGCTAATTTGCTTGCTACAGCACAAAACTTTTATTTTGGATGCGATTAATCACGATTAATCACTATAAAAAATATAACAATGGTAATAAAACAGCACAGCACTCACTAAACTAATAAAAACAATATTGAGAACCAGCACAGGACTCACCAGGTGCACGTAGGGAACGAAGTATCCCAGAACCGCAGTGGCGACACCGAACGCCCAAACCCGATAGGTCAAAACGCCGAACACTCGCACGTTAAAGTACTTCCTAATTTTGCCCAGGCTCTTCTGCCACCGGCTCGCCGACTCCAGGCCTGACGGGGGTCCATCCATTCCCACGCCTGGCATCGGGATCATCCCGCTGGGCATGAGCGGTTTAAAGGTGAGGGCCAGCAGAGACTGGACCAGCATGAAGATGCTGAGGATCTGGAAGGTTCTGGGAAGACCCAGCGGTCCCACCACCTTCTTCAGGAGCACCGGGAGCCCCATGGAGAAGAGGCTGCTGCCCGCCGTCACCACACCGTTGGCCAAACCCAGTCTCTGCCGGAAATAATGCCCCAGGATCACCAGAGACGGCTGGAACGCGAACGAGGATCCGCAGCCGAAGAGTATCCCGTAAGTGAAGTAGCGGAGACCCAGCGTGCTGGAGAGAGAGAGAGAGGAACACAGGACATGTGAGGTCAAACTAGCACCTTTTTACTTGTTTTGTTATTGAAGATCGACGAAATTGTTGAATATGACCCGGAACAATGCACCTATAGCACACTAGCAGTAAGTTAGCACTTTACTAGCACTTACACTAGCAGTAAGTTAGCACTTTACTAGCACTTACACTAGCAGTAAGTTAGCACTTTACTAGCACTTACACTAGCAGTAGCACTTTACTAGCACTTACACTAGCAGTAAGTTAGCACTTTACTAGCACTTACACTAGCAGTAGCACTTTACTAGCACTTACACTAGCAGTAAGTTAGCACTTTACTAGCACTTACACTAGCAGTAGCACTTTACTAGCACTTACACTAGCAGTAGCACTTTACTAGCACTTACACTAGCAGTAGCACTTTACTAGCACTTACACTAGCAGTAGCACTTTACTAGCACTTACACTAGCAGTAAGTTAGCACTTTACTAGCACTTACACTAGCAGTAAGTTAGCACTTTACTAGCACTTACACTAGCAGTAAGTTAACACTTTACTAGCACTTACACTAGCAGTAGCACTTTACATATCTTGTGTTTTATTTTTTATAAAATGTTGTTGTGCTGTGTATACATTGTTGTGTAATACTGTAGCACTTTGCCACGACAAATTTCCCTTCGGGGACAAATAAAGTTGATCCTATCCTTATCCTATCCTAAGCTATTTCTTCTATCCCAGTTTAATGTGTAACAAGTTTGCTTGAATATCCTTTAGGAAGAGAATTGCATCACTGACACACTATTATATTGATCTATTATAGTATTATTATACTATAATAAAATACTGTAATACTAATATATTGTTATATTAGTATTATAGTACTATTGTATTTTTGGTAACACTTAGTACAGTAAGGTTTCATTTGATAACATTAGTTAATGTATTAGCTAACATGAACTAACCATAAGCAATACATTTGTTACTGTATTTGATTTGTTAATCTTTGTAATAAAAACGCAGCTGTTCGTTGTTTGTTCATGTTAGTTCACAGTGCATTAACTAATGTTAACAAATACAATTTTTGATTTTAATAATGTATTAGAAAACTCTTTGCCATAAATGATGGAAAATCTGTCAATGGCCAGGAAAGGGTTAAAATATATTTTTTATAAAAATGCTAAAATGCACTTCTTTTTTCTTTTTCCATACGCAGCAACTGCACAACGGTACACACCAGTCTGCCTGGAAACAGTCATGTTTATAAGGTTATAGATTGATACAAGCAATTTTTAATAAATATTTTACTGAAAATATTGTTTTTACACTATACACAAGAAAAAAAATCATATAATAATGAAAATTTTACAAAAAATATGTTTTTGGGAGAATGTCATATATAGGCCTATAATATTAAATATTGTGGAAAAAAATATTGATTTTATTTTTGTTATGGCATGTTTGTCAGTTCAGTTCAACAGTTATGATCATTAATAATTCATTTTATAATTTAAATAATTCATACAAAATGTATTTAATAGGAAAATGCATATAATAGGCCTAATAAATACTTTACAGACAATTATTATTTTTGAAAAAATCATAATAAATATTTTACTGAACAATATTTTTTCTCCAATAAATACAAAAATATTTTGGAAAAATGCACAAGAAATAAATCATATAATATTAAATAATTTACAGAAAGATTGTTTTTGGAAAAATGTCATAGAAAATAAAATATTTTGGAAAAAGTAATTGATTTCATCTGGTTATGAAATGTCTGTTAGTTCAATTCAACAGATATGGAAATTGATAAATAAAAAATGCATAATATGACCATCTTGAATTTTTTTTCTTTTTGAGCATTAGCAAATGTTCAGAAAGCAAACATCAGTGCAGAAAGCATCGTTCAGCGCACTGTGACCTGTATATCTGTGTGGATGTTTACACATCTCGAACACGGCTTTATGTATAGAGCAGCTCACACACACACACACACACACACACACAAATATATAGAATACAAAGACTGCATTGAGTATGATGAAGCTGTGTACGTACAAATTCAAAGAAAAGATGCAGTGAAGAACATATGAATGATCACTGACTTCTTTGTCTAGTCCATACACAGCGCTGGCTGAGCATTCTGGGTAAAATAAATGTGCTTTGGAAAGGCTGAAAGAACTCAAGTAAAAAAATCCAAATGCATGGGTCACTCTCAGGAGATTATTTCATGTATCACATTGCCGAGAACAGTCACATTATTTGATTTATTTCATTTTGTTCTGTGTATATTGTGACGGATCGACTGATGTAGTAATCAGCGACTGGAGTGTGAGTGGAGACAGCAGCCTTTGACACCACTGACCACCGAATCCAAAAAGCAGTTTGTTGGTATTCAGGGGACGGTCCTAAAACGGTTTGCCTCTTATTTGTATTGTAGATCCTTTTTAGTGAAGATTAGTAACATCACCCATTTCCTGTGGGGTCCCACAGGGGTCCATTTTGGGTCCCATCCTGTTTTCATTGCATATTATGGGCGTAGGTTTAGGGGGGGACGGTAGGTACTAGAGCCAATCAATATTTTAAGATGACAAAATTGTCCCCACCAATATTTTAGCGAACTCCTAGTGCTGCTGTTTGGATCGATTCCGACGGCCAGGACGACAGTACAAGAAACGCCATCATTTGATTGGCTGAAAAACCGAGGGGGAGGGGATGTCCCCTCCAAAGCTGAGACCAAACCTACCATAGATATCCATAATAAAGGCTAGATGTCTTACGGCGGAGTCTCTATCGTCATCACCGGCGGCCATCTTGTCACAGGCAAGCTTTCTGGCGGGCTCTGTGGTGCCTGATGTAAGATGAGTGATCAGCACGAACACAAATACTCTTATCTCGGTGAAATCTTGACGGATTTACAAACGGTTTGGTTTCTTACAAACGTTATTAACGTGGCTATAATTCTGGATGATTATTAATTTATACACTTATTATTAATAAGTATGCAGTGTCATAACTACATCTCTGACGTTTATAACAAACCAAACCGTTTGAAAATCGGTAGAAAATTGAGCAAGTTATGGTTATTTAAAAAGTACATGCGCCATTAAAACACAATGTTACGAGTGAGCGAGCTGCCTGTGGCAAGATGGCCGCCAGGTGCGGACGCCGACCTCCATTGGCCAGCAGCGCGGACGAGACATCTAGCCTTTATTATGGATATCTATGGCTACGCCCTTGTTGCATATGCTCCCGTTGGGAATGATTCGAGAGACCGGTGGAGGGATTCCCGAACCGTTCAATATATGTGTCGCCGAAATGGAGAAACATGCGTGACGCCGCTGACGGGCTGGGATTCCTTCTTTCCCTTTTGAACAACCCATTTTCAAGATTTGATCCAATCCGATAACCAAAATCCGATCAGCTTACCTTTGAACAACTGGTCCTTTATGTTTATTTACTTTAATAAAACCTGACACCACTCCCACTGTGTCTGTCGTTTGCTCCTCCCGCCACAATATAGTTATGCTATATTTGTCAGTTCAGGTCAACAGTTAATGGGGAAAAAATCAAATAAAAATGCTTTACAGAAAAATATTTTTCTTCTGAAAAATGCACAAGAAAAAAAATATGTAATAATAAATATTATAGGTTAAAGGAGCTGTATGTAAGATTGTGGCCAAAACCGGTACTGCAATCACTTTCAAATTACTGTAGAGCGGTGTATCCCCTCCCCCTCCCCCCTGACTCGAGGTTGCCAGATCGGCTGCATTTTTTTATCCGACACGTGTGTAGCTGCAGCTGTGGTAACTAGAGCAGAGCTGGCAACCCGGATGCCGCAACACTACTGACTTCGTGAATGGTCGATAGGTGGAGGGTGGAGCATCAGACCAAAACACAACATGACAACATCAACATCAGTTGAGGGCTGCAACTTCACTTTTTGAATGACAATATCCTGGCCGGACTACTGTTGTCAGTGATATAAGTATTTGAAATGAACATGATTTCTCAATGTCTAGTGACATATCAGGGCCATTTTATGATTAATTCAAATAAATTTCTTACATACAGCTCCTTTAAAAGATATTGTTTTACGAAAAATACACAAGGAAAGAATTGTTTAGTTTTTTGTAAAAGAAAAAAATAATTTTTATCATTTTGTTCTGTGTCGATAGTTATGGTATATGCATCAGTTCAGTTAAACAATTATAGAAAAATAAATCTAATAAAAATGCTTTACATAAAAAATAATAATTGTTGCTGCTGACGAAAATAATTGTTCTTCTGAAAAATGCACAAGAAAAAATAATGTAACAATAAACATTATAGATAAAAATATATATATATTTTTTTTTTTAAATGCACAAGAAAGAAATCATATAATAATAAATATATTACATAAAAATATTGTTTTTGGAAAAATGCTCAAGAAAAGCATAATTTAATGATAGATATATTACAGAAAAATATTGTCTGATTTCACTTTGCTCTATGTATATAGCTATGCTATATTTGTCAGTTCAGTTCAATAGTTATATTAAACAAAAATCCAATAAAAAAAATTCCAGAAAAATATTTTTCTTCTGAAAAATGCACAAGAAAAAATAATTTAATATATAATTTATATTGTTTTTGAACAAATGCACAAGGATATTGACCATAAATAATGTGGTGTGAATGTGATGCAACGGTATATTTGCTAAAAGCCATTATTAGGCAGTTTCACTCTGATAACCAACATTTAATCCCAAATATCTGTGAATATAACAGTGTACATTTAAATTATGGTTATGGTGGTTTTTGTTTTTTGGGGAAATTTATGATTTAAAGCACATACATTTCAAATGTACAATAAAATTTCTAAAGGATAAAAAAAAGGAAAAATATGAAAAGGAAGAATCCAATAAAAAAAAATATATTTTACAGAAAAATATTTTTCTTCTGAAAAATGCACAAGAAAAAATAATTGAACAAAAATATTATATTTATTCTAAATACATTTTCTAAAAAGCCCTTATTAGGCAGTTTCGCACTGATAACCAACATTTAATCCCAAATATCTGTGAATATAACAGTGTACATTTGTTTTTTGGGGAAATTTATGATTTAAAGCGCAAATGTTCAATGAAATGTCTAAAGGATTTCAATGTACAAATGGAAAACTATGAAAAGGAAGAAGGCCTACGTAGCGAAGGAGCTGGTGAGGAGGCCGAGGAAGGCCACGAACGCTCCACAGACCGCAGTCTTCCGGCAGCCGAAGTGATCCGTGAACATGCTGACCACCGGCGAGCAGAAGAAGATCATCCCCATCGCCAGAGCTCCAACCCATGCTGGAAACCAAAGAGAGAAACATGTGATCAATGACTGAGAACATGCAGAACTCAGGGCTCAAGAACACTAGAGAGAACACACACACACATGTTGCTCTCGGACTTTGAGTGTATTCCTCTGGGAGACGCTTGACGACAATCAGATTTTCTAGAAAAATCGCTTTTTTTTGTGCCTGACGCAATTTGTTTATGTAATAAATTTAGTTGATTGTCATTTTTATAATCATTGTATCTCCTTTTCTTATCTCTCACTTATTTTCTTATTTATTTTATGAATTTTGTGTAGTTTTGAGTATTTGAATGTGTGAAGCACTATGACAGATTAAACTAATTGCCCCATGGGGATTAATAAAGCTCTAAACTTAAAAACTATTCTGTTGCTAGGGCGTTGCTATGTGGTTGCTAGGTAATTTCTTAAACAGGGTGTCTACAGATATAAACAAGTTACATTTAAGACCTTATCAATGCCACTTTGAATGAAATTTAAGACCAAACCTGTGATGAAAATACACATTATATGTAATATTTAATGCTTAACCTTAATTAATATTAACTACTTGTTTATTGAACTAAAATCAATGTTACATTTGCAATCGTGAGAATATTCAGCAAAATAGCTCCCGTCATGTTATGTTACTCAACTATATCATATGTTATAAATAAAAAACTCAACATTTTGACTTTTTACCTCAGTGTTTCTTCTGTGAGTTTATGTGTGCTGTTATGCTCGTTTGTTTTGATTAATCACTATAAACTCTCTCTCAGAGACGGGCGAGCCTCAACAGCGCTACCAGAAATACATTATCATTATCAATCGCTGTTTATGTAATAAAATCAGAATCATTCTCGGGATTCGATGCTCCGCCGGTTATTTGACGGACATTGGGTTCGTCAGACTGGAGAAATATTAGCGGTAATGTGACCAGAAATATTGAAGACCCATCGAATCTGAATTTAAGACATTTTAAGACTTTTTAAGGCCTTTTATTCGGAAAACTATATTTAAGACATTTTAAGACTTTTTAAGGACCACCCTGTTATACTGTCCTCAAGTCTCTATGGCTCAGTGTAAGTCTGTGCATGTTTAATTTAAAAAAGCAACAACACACAAACTATACAAATCCCAAACCCTAAGAATGAGCGGTTAGAAACCTTATAATAAGATCATTGAGCAAATAATCAGCTTTGAGATTCATTTCTGTGCATGAACTTTACTCATGTGATGAATGTGTGTGTGTGTTACACATGCACCCAAACTTGCGCTCTTTGTTCACCCAGATGATTGTGCAGAGACACACAGATGAAAGTCCATCGTCTCGGTCTTTAGAGAACTGGACGCTCGCAATCGATGTCAAGCGCAGACAAACAAACACACTGCATGTTTTCATGGTTCAAAGGTAGTTTAATGTCTGCAGTGTGTCTGGAGTCTGAGGACACCGGTTCAATATATGACGCTGATCCGTGTGTGTGTGTGTGTGTGTGTGAGAGAGAGAGAGAGAGAGAGAGAGAGAGAGAGAGTGTGTGGCTGTGTGTGTGTGTGTGTGTGTGAGAGAGAGAGAGAGAGTGCGTGCGTGCGTGCGTGCGTGCATGCATGCGTGTGTGTGTGTGTGTGTGTGTGAGTGTGTGTATATTTGTGTGTGTGTGTGTGTGTGTGTGAGTGTGTTTGAGATTAGTGTGTGTGAATGAGAGTGTGAGTCTGTGTGTATGTAAGTGTGTATGAGAGTGTGTGAGTGTGTGTATATTTGTGTGTGTGTGTGTGAGATTAGTGTGTGTGTGTGTGTGTGTGTGTGTGAGTGTGTATGTAAGTGTGTGTATCAGAGTGTTTGAGTGTGTATGTGTGTGTGTGAGTGTGTTTATATTTGTGTGTGTGTGTGTGAGTGACTGTATGTGTGAGATAGTGTGCTTGTGTGTGTGTGTGTTTGTGTGTATGAGTGTGAGAGAGTGTGTGTGTGTGTGTGTGTGTGAGTGAGTGTATGTGTGAGATAGTGTGCAAGTGTGTGTGTGTTTGTGTGTATGAGTGTGTGTGTGTGAGAGAGAGAGAGAGAGAGGGAGAGAGAGTGTGTGTGTGTGTGTGTGTGTGTGTGTTTCTGTGTGAGTGAAAGTGTGTGTGAGAGAGAGTGTGTGTTTTCTCTGAGAAGTAAGGTAATCCATTCCTAATAGTCTCTGGAATGTTTAATCCTCAGACTCCCACACACACACACACACACACACACTTATCCACCTCATGTTTTCTGCATGATCTTTTATCCGGGCTTTTAGAATCTGCCGCTTCCAGAACATTCTATTCCTAAACAGAGACTCTTTGCATTGTTCTAAAGTTCCAAACTCGTACTTCTAACGGAACATCACAGAAAGATCGGTCATTTGCAGAGCTAACAAATCAACAAACAAAACCCTGACTGTGAAACCTGTGTAAAACATACGTCTCGCTCGAGTCCGCGAGCCAGCAGGAGCCGTGTGTGAACTCTGACCCCGTGTTCTTCTGCAGAATACGGGTAAACACTCATTTGCTTGGTTTGTTAACGTACCGCTTCCTCTCTGGAATCATGGGGCCACATTTCCACTGAACCTCAGCCAAGAATTACTCGCTGAGGAGGGCTCACACACACACACACACACACACACACACACACACGTCTGGTTCACTATCTTTGTGGGGACTCTCGATAGTCATAATGATGTTTATACAGTACAAACTGTATATTCTGTCTCCTTACACTAACCCGACCCCTAAACCTACCCATCACACACACACACACACACACACACACACACACACAGTAACCCGACCCCTAAACCTACCCATCACACACACACTAACCCGACCCCTAAACCTACCCATCATACAGACACACACACACACACACACACACACACACACACTAACCCGACCCCTAAACCTACCCATCACACACACACACACACACAGTAACCCGACCCCTAAACCTACCCATCACACACACACTAACCCGACCCCTAAACCTACCCATCACACAGACACACACACACACACACACACACACACACACACACTAACCCGACCCCTAAACCTACCCATCACACACACACACACACACACACACACACACACACACACCAACCCGACGCCTAAACCTACCCATCACACACACACACACACACACATACACACACACACACACACAGTAACCCGACCCCTAAACCTACCCATCACACACACACACACACACCAACCCGACGCCTAAACCTACCCATCACACACACACACACACACACACACACACACACACACACACACACACACAGTAACCCGACCCCTAAACCTACCCATCACACACACACACACACACCAACCCGACGCCTAAACCTACCCATCACACACACACACACACACACACACACACAGTAACCCGACCCCTAAACCTACCCATCACACACACACACACACACACACACACAAACACACACACAGTAACCCGACCCCTAAACCTACCCATCACACACACACTAACCCGACCCCTAAACCTACCCATCATACAGACACACACACACACACACACACTAACCCGACCCCTAAACCTACCCATCACACAGACAGACACACACACACACACACACACTAACCCGACCCCTAAACCTACCCATCACACACACACACACACACACACACACACACACACACACACAGTAACCCGACCCCTAAACCTACCCATCACACACACACTAACCCAACCCCTAAACCTACCCATCATACAGACACACACACACACACACACACACACACACACTAACCCGACCCCTAAACCTACCCATCACACAGACAGACACACACACACACACACACACACACACACACACACACACACACACACACACTAACCCGACCCCTAAACCTACCCATCACACAGACACACACACACACACACACACACACACACACTAACCCGACCCCTAAACATACCCATCACACACACACACACACACACCAACCCGACGCCTAAACCTACCCATCTCACACACACACACACACACACACACACACACAGTAACCCGACCCCTAAACCTACCCATCACACACACACACCAACCCGACGCCTAAACCTACCCATCACACACACACACACACACACACACAGTAACCCGACCCCTAAACCTACCCATCACACACACACACACACACCAACCCGACGCCTAAACCTACCCATCACACACACACACACACACACACACTAACCCGACCCCTAAACCTACACATCACACACACACACTAACCCGAGCCCTAAACCTACACATCACACACACACACACACACACACACACTAACCCGACCCCTAAACCATCACACACACACACACACACACACACACACACACACACACACACTAACCCGACCCCTAAACCTACCCATCACACACACACACACACACACACACACACACAGTAACCCGACCCCTAAACCTACCCATCACACACACACTAACCCGACCCCTAAACCTACCCATCATACAGACACACACACACACACACACACTAACCCGACCCCTAAACCTACCCATCACACAGACACACACACACACACACACTAACCCGACCCCTAAACCTACCCATCACACACACACACACACACACACACCAACCCGACGCCTAAACCTACCCATCACACACACACACACACACACACACACTAACCCGACCCCTAAACCTACCCATCTCACACACACACACACAGTAACCCGACCCCTAAACCTACCCATCACACACACACACACACACCAACCCGACGCCTAAACCTACCCATCACACACACACACACACACTAACCCGACCCCTAAACCTACACATCACACACACACACTAACCCGACCCCTAAACCTACACATCACACACACACACACACACACACACACACACACTAACCCGACCCCTAAACCATCACACACACACACACACACACACACACTAACCCGACCCCTAAACCTACCCATCACACACACACACACACACTAACCCGACCCCTAAAC